TATTAACTCTAAATAATATAATTTATAAGCTTAACTAAATAATTCTAGATATATTTTCTAGCTAGAAATAAATATATTTTATAATAGATTTAACTAATATAAATAAAGCAGATCCTAAAATTACAGAATTATTTCTAGAGATTTTATAAAGTATTTATTTACTAGATTTATTTTTCTTTAAACTATAACTCAAGATTAATATATCTATAATATTCTTATAAAATCTCTATTTATAGAAAAGGCTTTATAACGGGTTATAAATATTAATTTATAGCTTCAGAAAATTCTTAATTCAGGTATAATTATTAGATAATAACTTTAATAGCTAATTATAAATAATTTCACGAATTAAGCTCTAGTTTATAAATTAGTAATTACTTTTTATATTTTTTTATAAGTAGTTTCTATTTACTTTATTTTTATAATAACTATTAATAAGTTATAAAGCTAGTTATTTAAGATAATAGAAATAGATTTATAATTACTAGTCTTTTCTTATAGTTAGTTCTATATAGTAGCCTTATAAATTACTTTATAAATAGAACTTTATATTCTTTTATTTCCTAATATAAATTATATAAATAATATAATATATTTAGAAATATTATAAAGTTTTATTTAGCTTTTAATTTACTTATAAATAACTTTATATACTTATAAGCTATTTTTCTTCTTATATTATCTATAAAGAATCTATAAAAAGTTTATATCTAATTTATATATTTAGCTAAAATTCTTTATTAAATTATATAACTTTAATTAAAGTTTTTATTATATAATATACTTCTTTTAATTTCAAATCTACTTGAAATAAGTTTAGAATAAAATTATTAATTAGCCCCGAAGCTTATATAAGGCCGCTAATTAATAATTTTAGTAAAGTAGCTCTAAACTTATCTATATAATATTAAGTTATCTTTTATATAATACAGATACTATTATATAAACGAATCTATATAGAAATACTAAAGCTTATATCTAAATCTATATAAGAGTATTAAAGCTTGAAAATATATAGAATCTCTTTATAAATCTCTTTATAATAAACAAGTATATATACTCTGCTTTCTTGCCTATATCTGTCTTCTATTCTCTATACCGGGCCTGTTAATTTATCTTAAATATACTTTACTCGAGCTATAAATAATATAAAAAAGTATAATAGAATTCCTTTTTTTCTCTCAAATACTTCTATTATTTCAAGTATAAGTCTTTCCGGCGAATTATAGATTATTCTTTAGATAAATCTAATTTTCGGGCCTTAATATACTTTCTATATTATATTTATTAATATAATAAATATTATAAAAAGAAGAGCAAGCCGGTTTTAAAAGAGAAATAGATATAATAGTTTATATAGATATAATAAATAGTAAAGAAGGCCTTATAAGTACAGATATAAAAAGAGAAGATAAGAAAGAGATAATTAAATATATAAGAGTAGTAAATATAAGGGGAATTTATAAAGGGCTAGGTATAATATAAGAGCAAATTGAGAGCTTTCGAAAAGGAGAGAAGTATTACGAGGGCCTGTATTAGTAATAGGTAGGCTATACGGACCCGCAGGAAAGTTCTACGAGTGTAGAAGAGAGCTTGCAAGGGGAGGAAAGGGGGGATACGGGCCGGGAGGAGATCTGAGAGGGCCTAACGGACGAGGAAGGGAGTTCTACGGGCTTATAGGATAGCTGGAAGGGCCCGCGAGAGGGAGGGAGCTTTGCGGGTGCGAGTGAGGCTTGGGAGGGCCTGCAAGAGACCTAAGAAAGCTTGCAAGAGTAATACTGCTCTTCTTGCAATTAAAAAAAAGCCTCTTACGCACTTTAGCTAGTTCTTTATATATAATATATACCGGGAACGGAATAAGAAAGCGAACCGGGTCCGGAAAGTAAAGTAAAAGAGAGCTATTTCCCCTTGCCCGAAAGCTATAAACAAGTAATTAGAGTATATAATTCAAGCTCTAGCTTCTACTAGCAAGTATAGGCTTGGCTTGAACTTTATAACCCGGCCTATAATTATAGAGAATTACTTAAATAAAAGCTCTTAAAAAAATTATTTCCTATTTGCTTATATTTCTTATATACTTATATATTATATTAGTATAAACTTATAAGTATAATATAGCTATAATTAAGGGAAAAAAAGAAAAGAAATTAAAAAAAGCTTAATAAATAAAAATAAAGCTTAAAATAGCTTATAAATAAGAAAAAAGAGTTCTATAAATATAATTAAAAAATATAATAGCCTGTAAATATAAAGAAATCTTTTAATCTCAAATTAAGATTAGAGTAAAATTAAAAACTAGTTCTAAAGCTTATATAGGGTTACTAGACTTTAATTTTAGTAGAGTAGCTCTAATCTTATATTTAAATAAGAATATAAAGGCTTAAAAAAACACTTTATATAAAAATTATAATAGTATAAAAGAAAAGATATTAAAGTAAAGTATATTATTAATTTGAAACTTAAAATATAAAACTAAAAAAAGAAAACTAAAAATAAAGCAGGAAAAAATAATATTATATTAATTTCGCTTATAATTATATATATATTATATATCTAATCTATTACTAGATATTTTAATTAGATATCTAGATATCTAGATATTATAATAGCTAGTATTATATAGTTAATACAGATATAGTTTTAACTAAAAGAATTAGTTTTAGCTAAGGTTTTAAGCTATAGTTCAAATCAAGCTTGCTTCTAAAGCTCGATATTTTAGTAGTTTTAGCTATATCTACTTATTTACTCCTATATCTTACTTTTATTCTCTTTAGCTTTAAATTCTTAAAATATTAGAATTATTAATCTTTAAGTTTTATTCTATTATTTTATTTCTGCTATTATATTATTTAAAGCTTCTATATTCTCGGTAGTAGATTTTAGTATTATAAAGCCTATAACTTTTTATCTATCTATTATTATCTATCTATCTATCTAATTAGTAAAATATAGCTTCTAATACTCTCTATCTATCTGGCTTAGTAAAATACTATACTATTTTCAAGTATCTATTCTATTTATTTAGCCTACTAGAGAGTACTTCTATTTTTACGATTTTTTAGTACTAATTTTACTAATATTTCCTTAAGAATAAATACTTTCTAAATATAAGTTTAATATAAGTTTAATAGCCTATAAGCTGAAATTACTATTCTGCAAGTAGCTCTTATAAAGATCTAAGTATTCCGGCCCTATTTAAAGCTCTCTAATTCTAAGAAGTTTACTAGAAATACCTATAAATTCAATATCTGGCTTTTATTAATTAAAGTAAAGCTAGCTATTAATAGTATAGTAATTAGAAATACTATAACTTAATTCTACTATATTTACCTGAATCTTAATTTATCTATCTAGTTTATAGTTTTATTATAGCGTTTTTATATAAAGTATATTTAGTTATAGAACTACTAAATAATTCTAAATTAGCTTTTATAAATATATAATAATCCAAATAAGTAATTAAAGGCTAAAAATAAGCTCTATATCCTCTACTAAAGTAATAATTCTTTTTCTACTTATATTACTAAGTTTAAATATATCTTATATAAAGTAAATAGCTAAAGCTAGCCAGATATTAATAAAATCTCTAGCTTTTATAATAGCCTTAATTTAGTAATTTATTCTTATCTAGCCTAATAGCTTATTCTATTCCGGATTTATACTAATTTCCTAAATTTAATAGCTTTTATTAAAAATAGCCGCTCTACTATACTAGACTACTTCTAGAATTACTAGTAATTCTATAGATATTAGTAAACTAATAATTAATACTCTTATATCTATACTAGTCTATTAAAACTATTAGAAATCTAGATAGTACTTTAGATATAGTTCCTATAATTACTAAATAAAGAACTATATCTGGCTATTTAAAGGTATTTTCTCTAGTTCTAGTTCTAGTAAACAGGTTATAATTATTATAGTAAATAATAATTACTCTAGTATAGAGAGTAATAATAATTCTAAAGAGAGTTATAAGCTTTTACTAGAGCTAGACTAGATAAAGCTAATTACTAGAAAATAGAGTTCTTTTTCTTTATTTTATTATTTTTACTATATTTGCTTTAGCTTTCTCTTTATTTACTAGTATTCGAAATAAGCTTTCTAAAGAGAAGAGTAATATAATAGCTAGTATTATATAATTAATATAGATATAGTTTCAGTTAAAAGAGTTAGTTTTAACTAAAATTCTAACCTATAGTTCAAACCAAGCTCGCTTTTAAAGCTCGGCGTTTTAGTAGTTTTAGCTATATCTATTTATTTACTATTATACCTCACTTCTATTCTCTTTAGCTTTAAATTCTTAAGATATTAGAATTATTAATTTTTAAGCCTTATTCTACTATTCTATTTCTGCTATTATAGATATCTAGATATTTAGATATCTAGATACCTAATCTTATATATATAGTTCTAGCTTTTATTCTAGTTTATAATAAAATTTTATAAAATTTTATAATATTCTAACTAATACTGGATATTTATTTAAGAAGTTACTTATATCTATTATACTAAACGAGATTAGAGCTTCTTTACTAAAATTAAAGCCTAGTAATCTTATATAAACTCTAGAATTAATTTTTTATTTTATTTTAATCTTAATTCAAGATTAAAAGAAATATATAACTTTCTTATAATAAAGCTCTATTATTACTTATAGGCCTTCTAAGCTTTATATCTATTTATAAAACTCTCTCTTTCTTTTTATAAACTATAATATCTTTTAATTATATCTATAAAGCTTTCTTTTTCCTTTTATAAGTCTTTTTAAGTCTTACTTTTACTTATAAAACCTTTCTCTTAAATATAGCTATATTATACTTATAAGCTCGTATTAATATAATATATAAATATATAGGAAATTAGTATTTCTTAAGAGCTTTTATTTAAATATTTAGCTTTTTACTTTATATACTATACTTATAGGCCCTCCCAAGCCTCACTTCTACTTGCAGGGCTTTTTCTTCCCTTTTACAAGCCCGCAAAGCTCTCTCTCTCTTGCCCGTAAAGCTTCCTTTCTTGTCCGTTAAGCCCTCCCAAGCCTCACTTGCCCCCGCAAGCCCCTTATTACCTGTACTCTTACCTATACCTTCCTCCCAAGCCTCCCTCCCTCTCGCAAGCCCCCCCTCCAGCCTCACTCCTACCTGCAAAGCTCTTCCTTCTCTCTTACAGGCCCTCCTAAGCCTTATCCCTATTTATATCCTTATTTATAGGGCTCTTCCTTCCCTCCCAAGCGTTACTCGCGCCCGCAAAGCTTCCTCCCTCTCGCGGGCCCTTCCAAGTCTTATTCTCACCTAGAACCCCCCCTCTAGCTATCCTACAAGCCTATAGAACGCCCTTCCTCGTCCGTTAAGTTCTCCTAAGCCTCACTTGCCCTGGAATTAAAGCTAATAATTATTGCAAGATTCGTCTTCGTCTATATATAACTCCACTTGCCTCTCTCTTAGCTCACAAGCCTGCCTCTCTACTAGTCCGCAAGCTTCTTCTTTAGCCTGCCCCTCCCTCTCTTCCCTTTTCTCCCTCTCTTCCCTTTTCTCCCTCTCTTCCCTTTTCTCCCTCTCTTCCCTTTTCTCCCTCTCTTCCCTCTCCCTCCTCTCCCGTTCTTCCCTCTCTATCCACTCTGCCCGCTTCTCTCCATCCCTCTTTATTTTCCTCCTTGCCTTATCCCTCTCTTTTAAAAACTCACCTGCCCTCTGCCTCTCCTTTAACCTCTCCTCCCACCACGCCTCAAACTCTCCTCTTTGCCTTCCCATCCTCATACCGCTACTGCCGGTCCTGGAGCTCCTGCTCCTCCTCTTAGGTCGGCTCCCGTATATAATCATCGACCGTAATCGCCCGATATCCGGCCCACCCCCTCTCCTTCTTTCCGGTAGCTCGTTGCCGGTATTAGATATGATTCGCAAGCTCAGCGTAAGCAGGAGGAGGGTTTGGATTCTGAGCGCGAGATCAATAACGGTTCGATTTAGTATTCCGGTACCGGTAGGGCTCGCAAGTAAGGAAACGGCCAAGATCGCGAAGTTGCAAGCAGCTAGAGCAACGGGTTTGCGGGCCTAGAAGAGTTAGCCTGCCCCTAAATAGGTCCGTTAACTTACCTGTAGGCTCTTCTCCCTCTTGCTTCCTTTCTCTCTCTTGTTCTTCTTAAATACTTGCATATCGCAAGGCCTGCCGCTCAAGGCAAGAAGCATACGTTGCGGTCCGCCAGCTATCCTTTAGGGGAAACTGGAAGATTAATCGAGGGCAGTGACACCCGGGGCAGTATAATTAATTTAATTCAGGTTGGATTAATTGAGACATTGTAATCGTAAACCAAAGTAAAGCGTGGGTGAGTAAAACGCGAGTGAAGGCTGCGCAGGTTTGGTGTTCCTGTACGGGCCTCCACGTGACAGTATAGGAATCTACAGATTATAACTCAATGTTATAGACGAGTTTAGGGCCGCTTCGCTAAAATTATTAATTGGTCCCGGAGCTTGTATAGGGCCGCCAATTAATAATTTTGCCCTAAACTTGTCCCGAGTAGGATTGGAATATAATAAAGGCTTTTAGCTAAGTATATAAATTAGATGCGGACTCTTTATGGACCTTTTACGGATAATATAAGAAGGAAAATAGCCTATAAGTATATAAAGTTACCTGTAAGTAAATCAAAAGCTAAATAAGACCTTGTAATATTTCTGGGTATACTATATTACTTATACGGTCTATATTAGGGGGTAAAAGAATATAAAGTCCTGCTTATAAGGTAACCCGTAAGGCTGCTATATAGAACTGGCCGTAAGAAAAGACCGGTAACTATAAATCCACCCCTACTACCTTAAATAACTGGCCTTATAACTTATTAATAGTTATTATAAAGGATAAAGCAAGTAGAAACTACTTATAGAAGAGTATAAAAGATAGTTACTAATCTGTTAACTAGAGCTTGATCCGTAGAATTATCCGTAATTAGCTATTAAAGTTACTATCTAGTAGCCGTATATGAATCGAGAACCTCCCAAAGCTATAAATCGATATTTGTAATCCGTTATAAAGCCCTTTCTATAGATAGAGATTCCATAAGAGTATTATAGGTATACCGATCTTGAATTATAGCTTAGAGAGAGGTAGACCCAGTAAATAGATATTTTGCAAGATCTCTAGAGGTAATTCTATAATCTCAGGATCTGCCTTATTTATATTAGCCGAATCTACTATAAAATATATCTGTTTCTGGCTAGGAAGTATATCCAGGATTATTTAATTAAGTTTATAGACTATATTATTCAGGATTAATAGAATTGCCTATTTACTAAAGGCCCGGTAATTATACGGGACCTATAAGAGTTATTCTTATAGGTAAATATAATTAATTAGGTCTATAACTAACTAGATATATAAAATAAAAGGCAGGAGTATAATCTGCCTATTTAAAGATAGGTTATATAGCAAACTACTAATCCAGTCTATAAAATCCTGCTTAGATAGATTATTATAGACCTATATATTAATCTGTAATAATAACTAATAAAGCTATAGCTAGATCTATATCCGCTATAAGTAGGCCTGTATTATATTGGCCCGTAAACCGTATAGGACTACTAGTAAGATCTAGGTAAAGTCTCTCCCGAGAATTATAGGCATCTCTTTAAAGAGAATATTATCTGTAATTGATTATAAATTGACTATTAGCCGGTATATTACCTCAAAGTAGTATTTGTACTATATAAGTACCTTATTCTAGATAATTAGGTCTATAGAATATAAGAGAGCCCTGAGCTAGCTTATTTTAGTAATTATACTTATAGATAACTCGTTAAGCTCGAGTAGGATCCGGAACTAGGAGTGAGATATATATTTATCCGGGAGAAGAAGAGCTATAATACCCGTTAATACTATATATAGAACTATCTTACCTTAGCTATAGTAATAGTAGTAAAGGGTCTTATAAAGAAATATCTTACCGGTTCTGCCAGGGCCTTATAAGTAGAAGTAAGTAGTTTGTAAATTATCTATAATTACTACTATAATTATCTAAAAGCAAGAATACTAGTTTATATTTAGCTAGGCTTATATTACGGTTACTAGTAATATCTTATAGATATAATTGACCTATAGATTAGCTATATAATAGCTTATAGTCTAGTTAAAGGTATTCTCAGGTAAAATAATGTCTATAAGTATCTACTAGAGATCCGTAAGGCCGAGACCAAGTAAAAAGAGGCTATAATTATAGTAAGAATTAACTAAGGGTAATAGGAAATTAATTAATAAATTATAGGCTAGCTTATAGGCCAAGTTATTATAGAAATGCTTCTTATACTAGTCCTAGATTATTTATATATCCGCAATTAGCTACTAGCAGATATCTATAAGAAAAAGTATCTATAAACTATAGCTAGTTATTAATAAAATAGCCTTATTAAAATACTAGAACTACTTCTAATTATTCTTTATTAAGCTATAGGTAATATAGGTAGTATAATATATGAAATAATAGATACTCTTGACTAAGTAGAGCTTATTAAAGGACTACAAACCATATATAACTATTAGTAAGAGTTATAAGTAGAACTACTTACCTAAAACTAGACTATAGTAGTAAATATAGCTAATACTATACTCTTGCTTATAGTACTTCTATATCCGGGTCTTAGTAATCTATATAAAGTACTATAGGAACTTGTAATATAAGTACTAATAGCTATTCTTATATATTATATTATATTTAAAAAAGGCTATTAAGATTAAGCGGATATTTATAGCCTAGTCTATAATCTGCTCGGGTAAGAAGTTAGCTATAAAGTAAATTATATATTATTTAGGGAAATAGATTATAAGATATTAAACCGGAAGGAACTTCTAGTATATTAGGTATTTGAATAGATACTAGAAAGCCTTTATAAGGCCTATATACTAAGCCTAGAGATACTAGATAATCTTATTATTTATTTCCGAGATAGTAATAGTTATATAGTCTGTTTTCTTATAAATATACTTAATTATTTATACGAATATATAAACCTTAATATTAATATATAAGTAGAACTTCTAGAGGAGATATAGGTTATATGAAATAATCCAGTAATTATTATAGACAACTTCCTAGTCTAGAAAGCCTGGTTTATAGACTATAAATATATAGCTATTATTCCGGTATTAGTATTCGGGATACCTATTCTTATAGATAATTATTATAGCTATAAATGCTTTAGGGAACCTCTTCTAATATATAAGTAGGGCTATAGGTATCTTATAGACTATATATAGGGCTTTCGGATTATTATTAAGGCTATATAGCCTGTAAGATATCTGGCTAGTAATTATAGCTATAAGTTTGCCTATAGAATTCTATAATAGGTCTAGAAGTTTGGTATAAATAATCTTATTAACTAAATCAGGAGTTAAAAAGATAGTATTTCTCCTAAGAAATAAGAGTAGATATATATATAAGAGGCTATATTTCTGGTACTTAATTATATAGATATAGCCTATATACTATCCGAAAAGGTAGTTCTTGAGATCCGTAAGAAGCTTCTATATCTTTAGAATAAAGATCCGGATAGTTAATTATTTACTATCTATTTAAAAGGTAATCTGTAATCTCAGGCTAGTATAGGTTAGCTATAAAGGTAATAAAAAAGCTTGGCTTATTAAAGTATTATATAATAGCTATTAAGTCTTGAAAAAGCTATTATATAAAGTAATTACTATTTATAAAGCTTAATAGAAAAATAAAGTAATAGCTAATATTACTTATATAGATATCCTTATGAATTAGGGTATTCGTAAGTCCTATATAAATATCTATATAGATATTCTACTAGTATAAGTAAAGCTAGTTAAGTAAGATAGTCTTATAGGTAATATATATATTAATAATATACTACTAAAAGAGGTAGCTAGTATAAAAGAATAGAGAGAAGGCTAGATAGATATAGAGATAGTATTAGTAAAAGACCTATTACTTAAGCTATATTTACTAATAGGTCTTATTACGGTCCTATAACTATAAACCATAGTACTAACCCGGGTTACTATATAAGAAGAATAAGATATAGTAGAATAGTATATATACTATATATATAATATTAACTATATATATTTACAGATACTTATAGCCTATCTTATAAACTATAAATACCAGATTATAGTAGCTTATATTCGTATACTTATCCGGGATAAGAACTATAATCTCGTTATTTATTAGGAGGTTCTTATAATAATAATTAGTACCTAATTCGAGGATTAAGTATATTTGCAGGTTAAATAAGATCCGGAAATCGGTTTACTGGCTTATAAGATACTTATAGGCTATTTTATAGACTATAATAAACGGATTATAATCTGTAAGTATATCCGTAAGCTATAAAAGAACTATATAATCTAGGTAAGGGAAGTTAGTAGCCTATATATTAGTTATAAAGAGTAGATTATAAAAGAAGAGCTATATAAAGGAGGGTTTAGTATATAAAGCGAACTATAGTAGGCCTTAGAAATAGAAGAGCTTGCTATAGATCTGAAAGTACTAGATCCTATAGGAGAAATCAATTTGTATATTCTTTTTATATTTAACTAATATAAAGGTAAAAGTATAATTATATATTCGGATATTTGCCTGGAAGGCCCGGTAGAGCGGATTATTACCTGTAAAGAGGTAAGAGAAATACAGAAGAGGCTTGTAGATTAGAGGAAGTATTATATTGCCCTTTTTATAATAGGTCTTAAAGCGATTATCCGTATAGCCAAAATAGAGGACTTTACAAGCTATATAGTAACCTGTAAGTAGACTAGTCATATATATAGGAGCTGGCCAGAAGCAGGAGAGGAAGGCAGGAGGCCGTATAATAGGTGGGTTAGTAGAAGGGTTCTCCAAGATATGAACAGGGGCTGTAATAGACAGTTAACGGATCTGTCGCTGGCGCTATAGGGCTGGCTTGTCCGCAGAGATGTCTGTAACCGACTGTTGTTATTGCCGGGAGATAGGGAAGGTATTTGGATTAAGTTCTTATAGGGCAGGGTGCTAATTAGTAGTCCGGGCATGTTGCTGCTCCTAGAAACTGGTTAAATAGGTCAAGGATAAAGAAGAGGAATATGGATTATATAGGCTATATAGGTCTTACGGATAGCGCCTATAGGCCCGCAAGAAAAGGCTAAAAGTAGTAAGTATCTAGTATATAATAAGTAAGTCTTGGAATTATCTATTATTAAAAGGAAGTAAAAGAGAGAGTATAAAAAGAAAAAGGAGAGGAGAGTAATATAAGGCTAAGTTTTTTTTTAGTATACTTGGAGCTAGCGAGAGCCTTAAGAAACCCTTTTCCCGAGCTTTAAAAAATCGTAATAAAAGCCCCTTATATTCCAGAACCACTAAAATATAAAGAAAGGTATTTGAGCTTCCTCTCTATAATCCCAAGCTAAGCTCTAAGGATTTGGATATAATTGCATTCCGATATGCGATTTTCTAGAAGGGAGAGATTTTTAGTATTTATTACGTGAAAGTTTTTTCTACGGAGCCCCGAGAGCCAACCGCTTAGGGTAGTCCGACCGTAGGACAATTTAGAAAAGGATATACAAATTACAGAAATCCTAAGCAGAATCCCTAAGTTATTAGTTAATAACACGTAGGAAGAAAGGCCTCTCTAGCTTAAATTTTCGTGTTCCTTACTATATGTGCCACCTGACCCTAGTATATTGGGGCTATACGGAGGTACAGCCCATAATAATAGTAATAGCGCTAGCAGGGGTTAATAGAAAACTCGTGAATTCAATACTCGATAACTTTTGCTATATATAACAGAAAAAGTTCATTTAAACGATATAAGTATCCATAACAGTGCCGTATAGTAGTGCTACCTTTTTTCAAGTTTTTGCAATACGTTATTGTTGCGATACCAGGTTGAAAAGTTCGGACCCCTGCTAGCGCTATTACTATCATTATGGGCTGTACCTCCGTAGTTGTGGAGTTTGAAAGCAGGATTTGAGCAGGGACAGGATTTAGCCTAGGATTTCAGTTGGATCATTACGTAAAACGACCCTCTCAGCCTGCTGCCTAGTTTAGCTTCGTCATTCGTCTCCCTCTATGATCTTTGCAGCAAGATCACCTTCCACAGTGAATTAAAGAATTATATACAAAAGGGCACACTAGATCGCTCCCTTCTTCTGCTTCTCCTTTATTTGTCAAGGATACAGTGTCACTTGGTCTACTTCGGCCTAGACCCCCACATTACGAGGCACACATCTGCAACTTTTTCTATTCTGCTATTTTCTTACGATATCATGAGTCCTCAAGCGTCTTGTCAAATATCATGCCCCACGACAATCACTAAGCTATGCATCACGCCACGCCATGTTATCGCCACAACTAACCCTGGGACTGTTATTGTTCTAGAAATCACCTGCGAACATCACAATCTCGAGAACGATCCACACAAGAGGATAATTGAAGCAGGAGAATTGTGGGATATAGACTGGTATGATTTGTTTTTAGTCACAGGAAACGCTGATGGGACAGCAAGGCTATGGAATATCGAAAATGGGTAATTTTTCACCTTGCTTAGTGAGAGTTATTATACTAATCAGTCTAATTTCCATGTAGGGTCAAGTTGAAAGAATTTCCTGAGCATGGCGATTGCATCCATGCAGTACTGATGCCAGACGAGTCAACTGTGATCACTGGGACCGGTGCCAACACGCATACTATACGTGTCTGGGACGTTGCCTCTGGTTCATGCTCACATAAGTTTGATCACCATACAAGAGGCATAATAAGGCTTAAAACTATTGGTAACCAACTTATCTCAGGCTCCTACGACCAGACTGTACGTATCTGGGATCTTGTGACAGGGAATGAACTTCATCGACTAGAAGGCCACGCCAGATATCCGTCCGTATTTGGCTTCAATGACGACGAGACACTCATGGCGGTTTCTTGTGGCACGGGCGATATCAAAATCTGGAGGATCAAAGATGGGTTGGTGATGCTTGTATACAGAGACGGTATAAGTTGCTAACTATGATAGAACTTATGTTACGACTTGCCAGGGCCACACCTGGGTTGCAAACCAACTCGAGAACCGTAATGGTAACCTTGTCTCTGCTTCATCAGATGGGACAATTCGGACATGGAACTGGGAAGATGGCTCCCTCCTCCACGCCATAGACCCTGCACACCAAGGCATCTCCAACCTCACTAATGCTGTCCGCGGGATGGCCTGGACAAATCTTTATATGATAACTGGCGGCTTTCGGGATGGTCTTCTTAAAGTCTGGGATAAGGAGAGTAATGTACTCCTTTTAGAGCGTCATGTTGGTCATACAGGCATTGGGAACGTTGTTGGAGGAGAAGGCAAGGTGGCGGTTTCGTCAAAAGTAAGACATGGACTGTACCAGATTACTCTTTGGGACAGAGGTATGATTGATGCAGAAGGTCTATAGATTAGATTCACTCTCCTTAGTTTATTCTTAGGTTGTAGGGTCTTTGCTACAAATCCACTCTGTAATGCAAACACGTATATTCTAAAATGGAGTGACTAAATCAAATAACTACACAATGAGTAAACCTGCAATATAACTCTAATACCATTTCCCTGCAAGCAAAACATATTCTCTAAGCATTGTATAGTTAAATAGTCCAATTTTCAATTAGCACAACGGGGTGGTGGTGGAGGCGGGGCCATGGGTCCACCTTGCCTTGGTGGTTGAAAGCAGTTGCCGCATCCTATAGACTCGCAGGTTGAGTCTTCGCCAATTGTGCAACCAGTAGTAGCGCAATCGTTGTCTGCTAGGCCTGCACTCCGAGCTTCCTGCATCATGACGCCGTACTCAGGAAGTATAGCAGTGTTGCTTCCAAAGCAGCTCCCTGATGCGAGACAGCCAGCTCCGCAGCTAGATACAGTCAGCACAGAACTTTCTCACGCCAAATAGATGATAAATGTAAATACTAACACTCCCCATATGTTTACCCAAGATTTGGGAATGAAGGTCTTCCCAAAAACGTATGTATAGCCAGCGCCTGCTAAGCAGAGCGACATACAGCTCACCTATATCAGATGTTAGAAAGCCTTTTATCAGTATAATACGACTACACTCACACAAGCAGGATGGACACCACGTTTCATCATGAGATCAGTGTCATGTTCCAGTGTGTGTACATCACGGGTAGCAAGCTCTCCGATCTCTCCTTTGTCAATATGGTTCTGGGATGGGTGAGCAAAAACTTGAGGAAGCGCGAGGGCGCAGAGCAACGTGACAAAGAATTTCATGACGCCGAGAATAATACGTTAAGTACGAGTCTATCTTGTTGCTAAGGGAGGTAGAATTGGTGGTGGTATCTTTTGATATACAATGGTGATAGGGTTCTTTAATACCTTTATCAGATAAATGCTTTCTTCTTTATACCACTGCTTTCCATCCTTTCTAGACTCCTAATCATTTAGTTGTAGGATTCAGTGGTTCTGCGCCGTACAGCATGTTGGTTCTGCGCCGTCACTAGTTTTATACAGTGCAGGTGGAGTGCTTGTTAATAATAGCTATTTGCTTCCTCAGCATCCAGCATGATGAAACGTTCCTGGCCTTTATCGCCGTCCAGAGTCGTCTTCCACGTGGACACGGTTCCACGTTTGCCAGACTCTTTGTCTACAGAAGGGTCTAGGGACACTCTGCCGTTGCGCTCTTTGCCTGCATCCTTTGCATCCTGTGCATCCTTTGCATCCTTTGTATCCTTTGCCTCTTTCTTCTTTTCTGGTGCACATTTGACTAGCGCTGATTGCTTTAGTAGCAGAGCTCCAAGTCTGATCTCAATCAGTTTCTTATTGTTAGTAGTGAGGAACTTATCGTAAATACTAGGGTTTAGGAGGCTACTGGCCTAGCGGCTGTTAGAAGGCGAAGCAATTTAGTCGTGACGTTTTCTAATCAGGTTCCTCTTAAAAACATGTGCCAAGTAATTTAGGAGCAATGGTGAAACAAGGTTAGATTCCTTTAACTAATAATCTTAGTGACGTGAGCAGTAGGAGTCTTGATCTCAAGTAGTTAACAGTAAAAACCCAAGTTATAATAACATGACAATGTTGAGGCTTAACTTCTGAGTTGGAATTTGTTAATAACTGCTAGCTATAGAGATACGCTACCTAACAAGTGTATTAGTCATATAGCCCCACCACGATTCTACACCTAATAATATAATGTCACCAATTGTCCAAGATCGAAAAATTCTGCCGATTCTAGACTTGGACCTGTGACTATCGTTGTATTGGTTGTTGCTATTAACCGCCACAACCATCGAGGCACAAGCCTTAGAGACTGAGACGCCAACCTTGAAAGGCTCGGAAACTGAGTTTTCTGTGCCTAGGGTATTGCAACTTTGACGACTCCTACCCTCTACGCAATCGTGGTGTGCTAAACCCTGGTCCTGGAGTGCCCTAGACATAATAATGTACTCAGGAAGCGTGTTGTTACCATGGCATAAACATTGAGCACCGTAGACAGGTCCGCAGCTGTACTAACAATTAGCTAATGATACTATATTATTTTGATAGCTCTAAATACTAACACCTCCCATAGTTGCAAATCCCCATGAATCTGGCCGAGCTCAAAGCCAACTAACCCGAAGCTGGCTAGGCAGATCGCCATGCACGATACCTATGATAAGAGTTAGAGCACTTTTGATTAATAGAATAACAATTCTGCTGACATAGGAGGTGCTGTCACCACGGCTCAGCACAAGACAAACATCATAGTCCATGTCGCCGGCTTTATACAGTGGCCGGCCTTTGTCTGGTTGAGCAAAAGCTTCACAAAGCGTGAGAGCATAGAGCAGGGTGACAAGCAACTTCATGGTGCAAAGGACGAAAATTAGTTTGTGTTTTGCTAGGGACTGGGTCAAGTCTCATACCATTTATTGAGAAATGACCGCTCCACCTTACCTTACACCTGACGAATAATTTATCCAACTCCCTTTGCCGCCTCTTCTAAAGCCAAAAAGACAGCAGGCATCGCAGATCCTAGTTGGGTAGCGCTAGAAACAATGGTGTTAGTGCTACGCCTCCTAACACTAACATTCCATTAACTGCCGACTCCCTTAATAACTCTGGCGAGACCGTGGCTGTGTCTCCTTCTCCTTGAAACAACTTCAAAGGATTAATACAGATAGTATAATGTCCTCGCTCATGCTCGTATTAGCGTCAACAATTAAAACGCCGCTAAGTTGGTTGACTAGGCTCGAAGTTAGGGCGCTGCTTTGTTGGTTTGCTCCTTACAGAGCAACAACACAGGTCTTAGCCGTGCCACTGTTGGCTGAATGACTGCAACGGACACTTTTAGAAATACATGTCAGATCTGAAACTGGGCATGTAGCACATTAGGTTAATATTAGCATAAGCCACGGCTGGATTCAAGTTGACGAGAGAGTAGTTGTGGCCGTGAACTAATGAGGTAACTGATTGGATGAAAGAGGCGAGTATAACCACGTATTTAGTCCCTGGATTTAACAAACAGGTTGGTAACATGCTTCAGAAGGCCCTTGCTCCGTGGATAGACTTATTGGGTTAAACTTGTTTTTTCTGCCATCTCTTCGTACCAATGGACTTCCCCTAGCAGCGTTGGATGTTGGCTCTACTGAATCTGGTTGTGCTTAGGATGGAAAAGGCCACTTCTGCAAGATCAAGATTCCGTCAAGTATAAAGGAATAGCTCGCCTTGCTAAAATGCAAAGTTCATCACACACGACTTAGCAGTTTATCTATCTTCCACTGGCATTCTTAACCTACATTCTCCCACCAGCATATACTTCTTCCACAATATTTCCCTTCCCTACACATAACTTTTAAAGAAGAATTCTCAACGCTATGAAGGTCCTTCAGAACACTGGACTGATTCTTCTTGCTGCCTCCCTTGCTGCGGCCACGTGCTTTAAGGGGAAGGGCGCCATCCAAGTCGCTCGTGACAACATCCCTGTGGTCTGCGCCCAGCTTCAGGGCCAGTATAACCCACAGCTTAGTCGGGACGCATGTGTTACAGGCGGCAGCGATCATTGGTACTTTCTGGTCAAGAACACGAACAACAAGAATTGGGCTACGGTTGCTCTCAAGGATTGTACAGATGGATTAATGCAGGAGATTGGCAAGTGTGGTGAGAAAGGAGGGAAACACACAACCAATGGAATATACTTTGAGTATGCTCTGTTTATTCCTATATGCAATTTGAATTGGCTGACAACAACGTAGAGTCGACCCTAGTAACGGTATATGCATAGATACCGCTTACATTAATAACCATCCCATAAGTTCCAAGTTTCGAGTTAAGAGGGAGGTGAAGATCTTCTACGACATCGCCAATAGCACTGATGTTGGCTCTGTTTAAAGGATGAGTAGAGCATTAGCTTAAAAGGAAGTGCGGCCGCCAGTAGGCAAGCAATGAATGCTTAGGGATGTGGCTTTAAGAGTAAATGCACTGATATATCTACCGCCCAACTGAAAATGTTTTACTTATAAGAGTATGAGACATTGCTCGTCGTGTTCTTAGTGAGCGCCACGGCTCCACGTGACTACCCTCACTGATTTCTTACCCTTTACCGCCTCTTTGCCTATAAACCACTATTTTTCTTATTAAGTTATCGTGTGATTCATGAAAATAAGTAATAGAAGACTTAATTATCCTCTCACTGTCTGTATTTAAAGACCACAAGCCTCTTGAAAACTGGAAAACACCACAGAATAGGAGCAGACACTTGATGTTCCCAACCACTGTCACATAGAATAAGAGCAGAATGAGAGCAAGCAGTTGATGTTCCCAACCACTGTTACTAGGAATAGTAGCAGGCAGTTTATATTCCTAACAACTGGCACAGACAAGAGAACAGGCAGCTGATGTTCCTAACCACAGTCACACAGAATAAGAGTAAGGAGTTTCTGTTTGTAACTACTGTTATAAGGAAAGAGAGCAGACAGTTGATGCTCCTATCTAATGGCATAGAATAAGAATAGGCAACTAATGTTCTAACCACTATTACACAGAATAAGAGTAGTTCCCCTCACGGATCTCCTCCCACCTTGTGCAAATCTGCTAGGCGACCCCACAATTACAACAACTTGCATATCTCTGAAAATCAATGCTCTCTAATGCCTTGACTTTGCTGGTAACCAATTCTTGCTCCTCATCCACGCACTCTTCCAACCCATGCCACATATCAACCTCGGAACCTTGGCATTTGCGGACATAACACAACGGGCACTTCCCAACCCATATATCCAACCAGTTCTCTAAATCCCACACGTGATGACCTTCTTGCTGATGGTGGGCTTGAACCTGCACCCGTTGCTGCTGCCACTGGATCTGCTGGGACTAGAACTCTTCCTGCTTTGCGGGACTAAATATTATAAAATAAAAGAATTAATATATTAGAAATAAGTTTATAAATTATAAAAAATAAATAATTCTTAATATTATTATAGATTTAGCTAAATTATATAAGTAATTTCTATTTAAATATATATTATAATTTATTAAAACTATTTAGCTTTTTATATTATATAATATCTTTAATTAAAAGCTAAAAATTAAGCTATTATATAAAGTATTTTTTCTATTTAACTTTCTAGCTCTTAGTTTCTATTATAGCTATTAAAATTTATATAAGGCTATAAATATATATTTATTAGATTTAATATAATTAAATAAAAAATAAAATAAAAATTTAAAACTTATTAAAAAACTAAAAAGAAAATAAGATAAAGAAATATTATTAAAAAAAAATATTAGAATAGTTATATAGTAAAAAAGCTTAATATAATAATAATAATATAAAGAATTACTTTACTAAATAATATATTTATCTTTTTCTATTTTTATTATTTTTATTACTTTTATCTAATAATTTCTCTAATAGTAAAAAAAAATTATTACCTGCTTTTATTAGTCTATTAACTTTAATTTTAGCTTTAATTTTAACCTAAATTAAATATTTTAGGCTTTATAATATCTTAAATATATGTCTTTCTTTTTTCTAAATTTATTCTTTTATAAATTCTAATTCTTCTAATTCTTCTAATTCTTCTAATTCTTCTAATTCTTCTAATTCTTCTAATTCTTCTAATTCTTCTAATTCTTCTAATTCTGATTTCTCTAATTTCTCTAATTTCTCTAATTTCTCTAATTTCTCTAATTTCTTTAATTTCTTTAATTTCTTCTAATTTTTTACTATTTAAGAGCTCTTATAATATATATCTCCTATATTAATTATATTAGCCCGTTTTATATTAATTATTTTCTCTATTCTTATTTCTTTATTAACTAAATTATTTCTTTATAAATATATTTATAAATCTATAAAAATAAAAATAAATTTAGAATTATTAAAAAAAAAAGAGAAATAGTATAAAAAAATACTAGTAAAAATAAAAATAAACTAAAAATAAAAGATATAATATAATTAGTAAATATATAGATAATAGAATTACTTTTTAAAAGCCTATAATAAGATATAAATATATTATTAGTTTTCGGGCTTTATTAAAATTACTAACTAAATTATAGCTTTATATCCTTTTTACTTTTTCTTTAATCTCTCCTTATTTCTTCTTCGAATTAGCCTTTTATATATATAAAAATAGAGTAATAGTCTAGTATACTTCTCGATTTAATATATAGAAATTAGTAGAATTATAATTTTTAGTCGAATATATAATTTATTATATTATTATAGCTATCTTGGGCTTGGGTTCTTATATATATATATATATATATCTTTATTTTTCGACTTGGAGTTTTTCTGATAGAATTTCAAAGCTTATTATACGGCTATATAAACCCCTACCAAGTGGCAATAGCACTAGAAGCACCGGCAGAATCGGGCTTATTGGTAGAATTGGGGACAGTCGGACTGTGGAATGGACTGTCCCGAGTCATTTCGGTGTCGGTCTACTAAACCGACTCGTTGCATGCTTATTTATTCTGACCGCTCTGTGCGGTACCGTCGGGACCCCAACTTCAAGGATCTCAGCCTGCATCTCCATACTCAATGCATTGCCCCACGCGCTTAGAGGATTCCTCGGCGGCAGGATAAAGGGCCATTTATATCATTCCGGTTCGTGAGGTAAAGCTGCCATTGAGGATAAGAGTTGATTCATGTTGGATTAAGAGCGGAAGGAAACTCTGTAACTAACATTCTCATCCTGTCTGACAATTCCATCATATCTAAGAATTACGCGGGGAGCCGCATGGTTGCTATATTTTCCGGCACGGACAGATTCCTGGCTTATACTTCATTTCAACGAGGGGGTTCCCAGTCCCTATGTCATACCATGCCTCGCACTTTGCAGAGCCACCGCAAACCCCACTCTTCGAGGAAAGGCGGCATAGGGCGCCGAATGTTTTCGTGTTCCTATGCTACTCTGATAGCATGAAGACGAACCATTTGGCCTTGTGCAATGTTTTCTCTACATCATGACTTCCGCTTTGAAGTGGGGCGCATTATAGGCATTCCATTGTTTCTCACAAGTATTCCTACGAATGCTCAAGCCGCCTGCTAGTACATCACATGTGCCATGAACTTTGAAACCGAGGAGATGATATGAGATGGGACTTTGCCATTGCTGAAGTACACGAGGAAGAGAAACACATAGTGAGTGGTTTGTATTCCACTTTGAAGCACCATTTCCTTGTCTGCTTACATTTTGCCAAGTCAGTTCGTCTCGCTCAGTGAAAAGGGGTAAAGAAAAAAATGGGCGTTAAGCAAAGCAGAGCTTCCAATGCCCCCCTTTATACTGGGAATGAAGCGGGGAGAAAGTATGCCTTACCATTTGACAGTTGTAATTCATTAGAGTTTATCCTTTTAAGTTTTTCCTGGGGTTTATTTTGTGTCTTGCGAGGTAACCAAGGGTAGCCCTGGTGCCTTCCGCGGTGGTAGACTCGCTTGAGCAACGAAGTGTTATATGCTCCCATTCTCACACATTACTATGAGATGAGATATCGTTATTGCTTAAGAAGAGGTGAAGTGCGAGAAAGGAAAGTAAGCTAAAGCTTGACATTTCGGCCCGCACTTGTGTGAAAATGTCCTTATTTGCGGATGTAACGGACGGTGATGGCGGTTAGTTGGGAACTAATTCAAGCCACATTGCTAAGTCCACAAGCCCGACTTGGAATGGTTTCTAAGTAAGCGCTTGAGCCTCGATTCCTGATGGGGGATTCAACTATAGTCAATTAATGGGCTTTGTAGCCCAAAGTCGAGAAAAGCTTATTCAGCAGTGAATCTCTATCTGATGTATCCCTGATAGCCATTTTGTCTAAAATAACGCTGCCTTTACTCCTCGGATTTCCTATTCAACCAATAGCTGTTCCCAATCCAACCTACTCTAATTCTCATATTTGTCATCCGATGTCCTTCTCTGTTCACATTCCCACTAAGCCCCTTACGGTCACAGAATGAACCGCGTCGCCCAAATTCCGTAAGGATGATTCACAGCTAACGTGCCACCAAGGAACAAGATAGACTCAACATATTCGAATCCCCCAAGTCCCGGGCCTACCGCCTACCTTACCATAACTCCTACCTGCTACTTATCTCTCCCCCTAATTCCAATACTTATTTTCCGATGCCCTCCCTCTATGAACATCCCCCCTAGGCCCCTAACCCTCACCTCATGGACTGTTTAGCTGAATTCTACAAGAATAACTCACAGCCGACACTTTTACTCAGACTTGAGATGGGCTTCTTAAATGTGAATCTAGGGAGTCCATGGGGTTCCTGCCTACTTGATTATGAATCTCGCCCGCCACCTGACTCTCCCCAACATCCTCCTTTCCTTGAGCTGAGCACCTTTTTAGCACAGCATCTCAGACCCAAACTTCAGCATGAAGGCTATTGTTGATTGTTGATTGCTGACATGTTACATAAGTTATAATTTCACATAGTTTCAATATATATTGGATTTAGCATTCTACCGAACGCTGTTTGTACAATCGAAACACGCTTCCACATTCTCCTGCCAAATGCTAGAACAATGGCGCTCGCGAAGTCTGCACTCTCGGTGAGGCAAATCGCTTTCGGAAACAATACCCGAAATAAAACTAACAGACAGCCCTACCTAATATAAATGCGTGGTATCCAAGGCCAAAATCCCGTAACTCTGGTCTTAAGAAAAGAGCGTAATCACGGCAATATAGATTGAGTAAAGATAGGTAAGCAGTTATGGTTCAAGTAATATATTTAGCGACCGTATAACATTTCGAGAATACTTTCACGGCTTTTATGCACTATTTGACGTGTACCGTATAGTAAATCTACTAGCTATGCTTTTCATTTTCGTATGTGGTTTACTAATACGGTTCCGGCTCTTCCTTAAGCAGCCGTGGTAATTCCCACA